TATTGTGAAGTAGATTAGTCCATTTCAGACCCCCAAACATACACGTACAAACGCGCTTCCATAAATACACTTACATAATTGGTCGCATTCAGAGGTAATCGTTATGCGGGGGTCCACTGTATTGCCTTTTGTAACAAAAGACATGTTTTAATACTGCTCTTTAACCACAATTAAATAGGGAGCATAAAAAATATCCATTAAAAATATAAATGACAAACATAGAACAATACACTGCTTCATTCATTCAATGAACAGACAAATAAAAAATTAAAAGGACACAAGTGCAACTAATGTGACATTTTATTGTGGCAACGTTTCGCTCTCCAGGAGCTTTATAAAGCCATTACAAACAATACATGGACACAGAGGGTATATAAAGGCTCAGAGTGAGGTGCAGTACTAGTGAGGTACCATTTAGATGTTCACTAGTGGTAGTAGTAGCAGTGACAAAAGTAGTAGTAGTAATACAATATGGTAGAGCAATTAATTCGTACATGAGTAAAAGGGTACAAAAGCTATTACTTGGGTAACATAAAAATAGGTTGGTCAAATATAGACTGGAAAGAGGCAGCCTGTTTCAGTGTTCACTCTCTGTAATGTGCTTTGTGTAGAAAACCCGGAGAGACATGTGATGGCAGGGTTTACTGTTTTCAGGAGGATTCTTGCTAAGATTTCAGAGATGGAGAAGCTGCCGTTGTTTTGTTTAATTGTATTCGAAACAGCGATCAGTGCTGATTCGAGGAAACTTGCGTCTGCGGAAATTAGTTTCTTTTAATCACTAATTGGGCGTCTCTGAATTTCATGAGATGATTGGTAAAATTTTTCGATGTTGTACACGGGCTTTTTCAAGTTATCGTTCCTACATGCGTAAATGTTTTTCATTGAGGGGGGTGTCGAGGTTTTTGCTGTTTCACCTACGTAAATCTTGTCCCCAAGCCTCCACAGGGTATAGTTCAAACTCCGCGTTGACGGGTTCGTGTTCCCTTGGATTTTGTTCTGGTTAGATCCTTTATTGAAGTGCTAGAAGCGATGGCACCTCTGGTGTTAGCTTGTGAAAGTACTTTTGAAACGTTCAGTGCAACCTGGCTGTTGGAAGAATTATAACTTTGTTGGGAGTGGTGTTGGTGCGGGGAGAATTAATGATCTGAAGAGCTCTTTTCTTGCAGTCTTTGATGAAAAAGGAAGGAAAAGGGTAGCTCAGTGAATGTTTGGTGAATGTATGTACATTCCTCGTCAAAAAAACTCGGGACTACAATTCGGTATGCTCTTAGGAAAAAACCCGATGATGATGCCTCTTTTGGTCTTGGTATCTTGACTGGAATAGAAGTGTGTGAGATCATTTTTATTGGGGGGTTTTCCGATAAACTGAAATCTTAGGTTGTTGTCTACTTTGTGAATGAGGACGTCGAGGAAAGGTAGCTTGTCTTTGGGACTCTCTCTTCTAGTGTAAACTGGATCGCCGGTTCAACTGCGTTGAGCCTTGCCTGAATTTCAGTACATCAAAACGTTTGGGAGTTATTACGAGGACGTCGTCCACGTAACGTAACCAAGTGGCGCTTGAAGGGATGATGTTGGTGAAGTGTTAGGACTCTAGGTGTTCCATGTATAAGTTGGCTAGGACGGCACTGATGGGGGACCCCATTCTCATGCCGTAGGTTTGTTTGTAGAGCTTGTTATTGAAAGAAAAACAGTTGAAATTATCACAGAGTTCAATCAAGTCAACAAAATCTCCGGGAGGTAGAGGAAGATTAAGGTCCTGATTGACTTTACGTCGTAGAACCTCGATGGCTTTTTTGGTAGGTACTTTTGTGAAGAGGGAAGTCACATCCAAACTGCTTAGTTTCTTGTTACGGATGGAGAGGTTTCGGATGCGGTTGAGAAGGTCACCCGAGTGTTTAAGATGAGCAGGGCTGATGGTCCCCAGAAGGCAGGAAAGATGTTTGGCAAGAACTCCGGCTAGTTTGTGTGGAGCAGTGCCTATTCCTGACGTGATTGGTCTGAGAGGAATGTTGTGTTTATGGGTCTTGGGTAAACCATACATGTGTGCTGGTTTAGGGTTGCTTGGTAACAAGTACAGAAGTTTCTTCCCTTCTCTAGTGCGTTTGAGTATTTGTCTGGTTTTGTATAGAAAGTCTTTGGTGAGCGTCTCCCACTGTTGAGTGCTGATGGGTTCGTATGTAGATTGATCATTCAAAAGGTCCATCATTTTAGTGTTGTAGTCACTGGTGTTGAGTATGACGACTCCACCTCCTTTGTCGGCGGTGGTGACGATAATGTTGGGGTCGTTGGCGAGGTCCTTAAGGGCAGTGATTTGGACACCCTTCTTCATGCTCACAGCTATCGCAACAGACACAACTTCCTACAAGATTGCCTGGCAGAGAAGGTGATCCCTATGTCTACTCCTGCACAACTCTCCAACTCCAAGCACCCCTTCTCTCCAGCTACCCAAGCTTACTTAACTGAATGTGCCTAAGAACTTTCTAACATCGCTAAGGAATCCTTTGAAACTGCAAGGAATATGAGGGCCAATCTTCAGATTGACAACACACCGCTGAGCATATTCTCAGCACAGTCACCACAGCTAACCTCCAACAGAAGATTAAACTCAATTGCAAACTTCAGTACCTCTGCACTAACAGTCGATGGAAGGAAATGGGACGCGAATCCCTGATAAACAACTTATCGTCACGCACCTTAACTGACTACGAGAAACAAGCACTGAGTCTGGGACTCAAATTTACCACCAACATACGCAAACCTAACTATCAACTCGATCTTGTTACCAGGAACCATAGACACAATGACAGCAACTTCCAGAAGGGTTATATACAGGGCCTTCTCACTGCAGCTTTATGTGAACCTTCTTCTAATCTTCCTAAACGATACATCACTGCCCTTAAGGACCTCGCCAACGACCCCAACATTATCGTCACCACCCCCCCGGACAAAGGAGGTGGAGTCGTCATACTCAACACCAGTGACTACAACACTAAAATGATGGACCTTTTGAATGATCAATCTACATACGAACCCATCAGCACTCAACAGTGGGAGACACTCACCAAAGACTTTCTATACAAAACCAGACAAATACTCAAACGCACTAGAGAAGGAAGAAACTTCTGTACTTGTTACCAAGCAAACCCCCAAACCAGCACACATTATGGTTTACCCAAAACCCATAAACACAAAATTCCTCTCAGACCAATCACGTCAGGAATAGGCACTGCTCCACACAAACTAGCCGAGTTCTTGCCAAACATCTTTCCTGCCTTCTGGGGACCATCAGCCCCGCTCATCTTAAACACCAGGCGACCCTTTTCAACCCCATCCGAAACCTCTCCATCCGTAACAAGAAACTAAGCAGTTTGGATGTGACTTCCCTCTTCACAAAAGTACCTAAACCCAAAAAAACCCTCGAGGTTCTATGACGTAAAGTCCCAAACAGGACCTTAATCTTCCTCTACCCTCCCGGAGATTTTGTTTTACTTGATTGAACTCTGTGTTAATTTCAAATGTTTTTCTTTCAATAACAAGCTCTACAAACAAACCTATGGCATGGGAATGGGGCCCCCATCAGTGCCATCCTAGCCAACTTAAAACATGGAACACCTAGAGTCCGAACACTTCGCCAACATCATCCCTTCAAGCGTCACTTGGTTACGTTACGTGGACGACGTCCTCGTAATAACTCCCGAACGTTTTTTGATGTACGGAATCTTCAGGCAAGGCTCAACGCAGTTGAACCGGCGATCCAGTTTACACTAGAAGAAGAGTCCAATGACAAGCTACCTTTCCTCGACATCCTCATTCACAAAGTAGACAACAACCTAAGATTTCAAGTTTATCGGAAACCCCCCAATAAAAATGATCTCACACACTTCTATTCCAATCAAATACCAAGACCAAAAGAGGGATCATCATCGGTTTTTCCTAAGAGCATACCGAATTTGTAGTCCTGAGTTTCTTGACGAGGAATGTACTACATTCACCAAACATTCACTGAGCTACATTTTCCTTCCTTTTCATCAAAGACTGCAAGAAAAGAGCTCTTCAGATCATTAAATTTTCCACGCACCAACACCACTCCCAACAAAGTTATAATTCTTCCCAACAGCCAGGGTGCACTGAACGTTTCAAAAGTACTTTCACAAGCTAACACCAGAGTCGCCATCGCTTCTAGCACTTCAATAAAGGATCTAACCAGAACAAAATCCAAGCACCACGAACCATCAACGCAGGAGTTTACACTATACCCTGTGGGGGGCTGTGACAAGATTTACGTAGTGAAACAGCAAGAAACCTCGACACCCGCCCCCAATGAACACATTTTTCGCATGTAGGAACGATAACTTGAACAACGCCTGTTACAACATCGAAATTCTACCAATCATCTCATGAAATTCAGAGACGCCCAATTAGTGATTAAAGAAACTAATTTCCGCAGACGCAAGTGCCTCGAATCAGCACTGATCGCCGTTTCGAATACAAATTTAAAAAAAACAACGGCAGCTTCTCCATCTCTTAAATCTTAGCAAGAACCTCCTGAAAACAGTAAAACCCTGCATCACATAGTCTCTCCTGTTTACTACACAAAGCACATTACAGAGAGTGAACACTGAAACAGGCTGCCTCTTTCCAGTCTATATTTGTCCAACGTATTTTATGTACCCAATAATAGCTTTTATATCCTTTTACTCATGTACGAATTAATTGCTCTACCATATTGTATTACTACTACTACTTTTGTCACTACTACTACTACTACCACTAGTGAACATCTAAATGGTACCTCACTAGTACTGCACCTCACTCTGAGCCTTTATATACCCTCTGTGTCCATGTATTGTTTGTAATGGCTTGATAAAGCTCCTGGAGAGCGAAACGTTGCCACAATAAAATGTCACATTAGTTGCACTTGTGTCCTTTTACTTTACATATTGTCTGTAATTCTACCAACTTTATTACAAATAAAAAATTACTGTAGTATACTCCCTTACTGTTTCATCTCGCTCCATTTCCTCATCAAGGGCGCTGTTGAGGGCATCTCGGACAGTTAACTGACTTGCTGTTGCAGCCCTACTTGTTGAGAAACTTTGACTCAATACTCCAGACAACCTCTGCAATAATTTTTTTTTTCAGTAACCCTTCAATATATAACAAACTAAAAGGGAGGAGCAGGTGGCTGGTAATGGCAAGTGTGGTGGATAAAGAAGGACATGATTTGCCATGACAGTAATAATAATATGATTTGCCATGACAGTAATAATAATGAACAAATATATATCCAGTGGACTTTGTCCACTGTTTCTGAATTAACTGACCCAGCAGACTTTGTTCCTTCATACAGAGGTCTAGTATAGTGACGGCTTATTGTACAAAAAATCCCTACAACCACAGACACAGAAACAAGTATTTTTTATTTAAAACAGATTACCACAAACCAATATAAAGAAAGTGTTCAACAATTCAATAATAATTCTCAATTCATGATAGATAGGCAAATGTATATTTGTGTTACATATACTGTATAGAATTTACATTTCTGTATCTTATATACATACAATCAGTACAGGTCAAAGACGATACCCAAATACTAAAATTTCTTAAAATAAATGAAAATTTGGCGTACTGGACCCGGAATATGGAAATTTTCACTCACAAAAAGCTTTGCCAGCCCAATAAACTGGATGGCAAAACCCCCAGAAAGGGGAAATATCTCCTTTTTAAAAATGAAAGGTGCTGAACTTGTCTTATTTATGTAAACAAGAAAAGTACAGTGGGGGGCCCCACTATAGGGCGTTTAGATTCCAGGCTATTTGGGGAAAAAAAGCAGACCCGTGGAAGAAAGAATGCCTTTTTTTTCCACTTAAAATGCCCCAAAAAATCCCCGGTAAAAAATTTTACACAAACATATATTACTTTAGCAATAAAAACAAAGGCTTTAAAAAAACAAAAAAAAATTTAAAATTTACACACACAGAAACCCATTGTTTTCCCTTAAAAATTTGAAAGTCTTTTTGTGGGGTTGGATTTTGAGTTTTTTTAATTTGTAGGAAGCCCGGTTTGAGATTTATGGTAGCCAGCCGGGGTGAGCCCACCCCCCCCATACGAAATTTAATATTACGACTTTTAAACCCCTTTGACTGCCCGCAACCCCCAAATCCGGGTGTCTTCTGGTGTCGCAAAATTCCCCCCCCCCCCCCCCCCACCAAAAAAATTCTTATGAAATGATTTTTAGAACTTTTTCCCCCATTGTAATGCACCAAAAAAAAAAAAATTGAAGGAAAACTAACGGGAAAAAAAGCTCTTGCGAATTACGATCTCGGGGGAAAATTTACGAATCGGTGATTTTTTCCCCCTTTTGAGCCCCATTTTAGTAAATTTCCCTTGTTCCATTTGACCCAAAATCATAGCTAAATTTTTTTAGAAAACATTTTTTTATCGATTGAGTACAAGAAACTGCCCCTTTACCGTTTTCAAAACCCAATAATTTTGGTCCCGAAAATTTTCAATTTGGGCCAAAATTTCCAAAGAAAATCAAAAAAAATGACAAATTTTAAAAAAGGGTCCGAATGAAAAATGAGACATTCCTGGCGTAAAATAACCCTTTTCTTTGTTTATTCCCGTCTTTCCCCTTGATATTTCTTTGTTTTCTTTTTTTGAATTTTTTTAAAAAAAAAAACCCGAAGAATTTTCTGTTATGCAAAACTGCAATATTTTTAATAAATTTTATAAAAAAATGTCAAACCCTTTTATGGGGGCATATTAGAAGGCCCACTTGGACATTTTTTGGGAAAAAGACAACATTTGTTTACTTTTTAAAAAACTTTGGGAAAAATCAAACATTTTTAAAAGGGTTCTTTATAGGGGAAAACCAATCAAAATTTACCTCTATTTCTAAATAGTTTTCCATTTTATCAAAAGAGACCCCAAGGGAAAAAGAGGGAAAAACAAAAAATAAATATTAAACAAAAATAGGGCCCCCAAAAAATTTTGGGAATTTTTATAAAAAAAAAAAGTCGGGGTTTTTTTTTTTTCCCCATTATGCACTGGTGCTGCAGGTTTTCTTTTATATGGTGCACAATGAACCCCCACGACCCCCTTCCCCTCACATGTGGGGCCCCACCCGCTTTCTCCTGCTTGATTTGAAAACCCCCAAGGGAATTTTTTGGGGTTTTAGGATAACATCAAAAAACGGTTGGGTCGTAAATGTATACTATATATTTACCAAAAAAAGTCAAAGGGTTAATGATAAAAGAAAAAATTACATTTTCTTTAAAATTTAACCTTTTTTGGTGATTTGTATTTAAACTCCCAGGGGGGGGACTTTCCAAACCCACAAAAGGCCAATACTAGGGCAACATTGGGGACTGCGGCCTACAGCCATATTATTACCATTGACATACCATGTTCACCGAGTTTAATCGTTTCTAACAACTACCTTTACATGCCATAATAAACAAAGGGAGAAGTAATGAATAATTCATGCCGAGAATTGTAAACAAAAGCCTTATGTACTATTAAGGGCAGTTACAGGGCCAACACAGATTCATACACGTTTACTTTGAAGCTGGACCAGAGAAAATGGAATGTTTACCTCTACCCAACCTCACTTCTTGTAATGTAATGTGTTTCTTATAGTGTAATTTTGAAGAAAATATCATAGATGGATTAATGAAAATGTCTATATTAACATAAAATAAGACATTTAATGTGCCCAAGAGTGATTATTATTAAACATACATAACATATAAACACTGCATGTTTATATACTATATAATGTGTTACATAATTTTAAAGAAAATATCATAGATGCATTAATGAAAATGTGTTTTTTTTTTTTTTTTAACAAGTCGGCAGTCTCCCACTGAGGCAGGGTGACCCAAAAAGAAAGAAAATCCCCAAAAAGAAAATACAGTGGTCCCCCGCTTTTCGTGGTTCCCGGCAATCGTAAAATTCGCCAATCATAGGGGTATTTTCGTATAAACATGGACTCGCTTTTCATAGGTTGACTCGCGAGTCGTAGTTTGTCCGGGACGCGCACGCACGGCATGGGCCAGGGCGGCAGCCAGTCTGGCAATGTTTACCAGTGAGCAAAGGTCCCCTCGCATGCTCCAGCGAAATATTTCATAATATTCCATTTACTTTAGTGCTTGCAAGTACTAAATAAGCTACCATGGCTCCAAAGAAAGCTCCTAGTGCCAAGCCTGTGGTAAAGAAGGTGAGAAATACGATTGAATTTAAGAAAACCATCATTGAACAATATGAAAGTGGTACAAGTGTGGCCGAACTGTCCAGGATGTATAAGAAATCCTACACAACCTTACGTTCCATAGTGGCCAAGAAAAATGAAATAAAGGATGCTGTTGTTGCAAAGGGAGTAACTATGCTGACAAAAATGAGATCACCAGTACTGGAAGAGGTTGAGAAGTTATTATTGGTGTGGATAAATGAGAACAATTAGCAGGAGATATCTTATGACTTCGTTTATTTGTGAAAAGGCTAGGCAGTTGCATGAAGATTTGGTAAAGAAATTGCCTGCAAATAGTGGTGAAGTGAGTGAATTTAAGGCCAGCAAAGGCTGGTTTGAGAGATTTAAGAACCGTACTGGCATACACAGTGTGGTAAGGCATGGTGAGGCTGCCAGTTCGGACCACAAGGCAGCTGAAAAATATGTGCATGAATTCCAGGAGTACCATAGAGGCTGAAGACTGAAACCTGAACAAGTGTTCAATTGTGACGAAACAGGCCTCTTTTGGAAGAAAATGCCAAAGAGGACCTTCATTACACAAGAGGAAAAGGCAATGCCAGGACACAAGCCTATGAAAGATAGGCTGACGCTAATGTTCTGTGCTAATGCTAGTGGGGATTTCAAAGTGAAGCCATTACTAGTGTACCATTCTGAAAATCCCAGTGTTCAGGAAAAACAATGTTATGAAGAGTAAATTGTGTGTGTTTTGGAAATCTAATAGTAAGGCATGGGTCACGAGGGAAATTTTCGTCGAGTGGTTCAATGAAGTGTTTGGCCCTAGTGTGAAGGAGTATCTCCTGGAAAAGAAATTGGATCTCAAGTGCGTGCTAGTAATGGACAAAGCAACTGCTTATCCTCCAAACTTGGATGACCTAATTTTCGAGGAGTTTGGGTTCATCACAGTAAAGTTCTTGCCCCCGAATACCACTCCTCTCCTCCAACCCATGGACCAGCAGGTTATTGCAAACTTTAAAAAACTCTACACAAAAGCAATGTTTCACAGGTGCTTGACTGTGACCACAGACACTCACTTGACCCTAAGGGAATTTTGGAGAACACTTCAGCATCCTCCACTGCATAACCCTTATAGGTATGGCTTGGGAGGGAGTGACTACCAAGACTTTGAACTCTGCCTGGAGAAAATTGTGGCCAGATTGTGTCGACAAGAGGGATTTTGAAGGATTTGGGACTGATCCTAATGAGCCTATGTCTGTTGTAAAATCAATTGTGGCACTGGGGAGTTCCATGGGGTTGGATGTGAGTTTGGAGGATGTTGAAGAATTGGTGGAAGACCACAATGAAGAGCTCACCACTGAGGAGCTGCAAGAGCTTCAGCAGGAAGAGCAACACATCACAGCTCAGAATCTTGCTGCAGAGGAGGAGGAAGAGAAATGGAAGAAGGTGCCTTCTTCAGATATTAAAGAGATTTTACTATGTGGGGTAAGATGGAAAGCTTTATGGAGAAACATCACCCTAACAACGTTGTTGCAAGCCAGGTTGGCAACATGTACAGTGACAAAGTCTTGGGCCATTTTAGGAAGTGTTAAAGAGATGCCAGAAAACAGAGCTCTCTCCACAGTTATTTTGTGAGACAGGACTCCAGGACTCTCAAGGTGGTCCTAGTGGCATTAAGAAACAGAGAAGAGAAGCAACCCCAGAAAAGCAAATGGTACCTGAGGTGTTGATGGAAGGGGATTCCCCTTCCAAACTATAAACAATCCACTCTCTCTCCTCCTCCAGTCTCCCATACACTAAAAAGAATCTCCAATAAAGGTAAGTGTTATGCTGTTAATGTTTCATTCATCATTTCCCCATTGTATTGTTTATGTACTACATGTATATTTCATGTTAAAAAATTTTTTGTTT